CAAAATATGAGTTGGTTGCGTATCGTCATCTTAATTACCATCATGTAGTTTCTACATTATTTATATACTTCATCGAAATATCATGTGTTTGTCTAATTAGATCTATTATTATTTTGTATCCTGTTTGTTTTACCCTGAACATTTCTAAAATAAATAATATTATTGTTTTTCTTATAAGATTTGCGTTGTTGTAAATATTTTTTTACTGAAATGAGATCGACAATAGGGAGATTTCGCAGCCTTATGAAGACCATAACTGATACGAACACGACATTATCATTATCGTCATTCGTGCCTCAAACAATCTTGACAATAATGCTGTAGGAGCTGAATACGATTCCTAATTCATGCGGAAGGCATGAATCACTTATGCTACTGTAGAGAAAGGGTTGTCTAAATGTGATGACTGTTTTCGTAAGCTTGCGAAAACTCCCTAATATTAAGCCCGCATCCCAGGGGCTGATTTAGTACTAGGGGACAGTCCGCTCCCTCTCCCCACCTCCACTTTGGAAAGTAATTTTTTTAAAAAGAAATAGAAATTACTGATCGCCCAAAAGGACACAGATTATATTCCGGCGTGTAAAAAGCAAAAATTTGGGTAGTGTTTTCCCTTTCGGACATCTCTGGATCCGCCCTGCATTCTAATACGATAATATAAGCTTTTTAAATTCATTTTATTCGAATATCATACGTTGCACCATGGTTGACTTTTGCATTATGTAGGCCTAGCTAAATCATCACGTGACATTAACAAATAGGCAGTTAATAATAGGCAATATGAAAGCTGTCTCTTATACACATCTAGATGTGTATAAGAGACAGCCACCCACCCTACCCTTCCTCCATTTCAATACTCAAGATATCAAAGGGTAGCATTCTGGTATGCGCTTCTCCTTTTAACAGCCATAAAATATAAAATTTCACTTAACACCAGGCTAACGCCACCTAGAGTCTGTTCTGCTTAGCCCTGTTTCCTGGATGTTGTTGCTAGAATTACAGCCGAAACGCACGTATGTTTGTTAGAAATGCATGTACTTATGGAACAAGCGCGAATTCTTTACAATTAGGAAGAGTTACATAGTAAAACAAAAAACAAACAAAAATATGAGTAAACAAAAAATGATGATGGGGTGCGTGTTAGTAGCTCACAGCTGGTAGTACAAGGGGATTCCAGAGAGTGGACTAAAATTACCCAGCGGGAATACGACTATATTAATTGCATAACATGCAATGTTAGGCCTGTGTATTTAGTATGACGTTGATGACCCAGTGTTGAAAAGACTATCAATCATCAGAATCACAATGGATTATCATCCACTGAATTCCCTGAAACTGATCATGTTCTTATCGAGACAACATAATGAGGTGATCAAATTTAATGACGATTGCAATTTTTTTACATTTTTTGTTGACCTACATATTTTGTTTAACATTCAAATTTAATAGATCTAAATAAACCAATGATTGTAATGTTATTTTTCATTTGATGTACGTTAAAACTTAAATATTCAAACACAATAGTTTAAATTACTCTAGATCCTATGGTTTATTGTTGGCGATACTTTTTTTTAGTGCATCAAGGCACATCAATTATATTATATATCAATTACTGTATATTATTATTAGGCGTACCGTAGTTTTAGTAGATATTACGTTTTCAAAAAGTTAATAGGGAGTTTTCGCTGCACGACGTTAACGTTAACGGATGACGTCATAATATATTCATCTTGCGTTGCGGAGTACGTTAACTCAGGATTTTACATGCTCGACGGACGTTAGTTACGGGTTTGCGCATGCGTATTTCGATTTGTTTACAAAAGGGGCGGAGTTATCGCGTTGCAAGTTGGGTACTAACGTTAACGTTAACATCGTGCGGCGAAAACTACCTAATATGTAGTACAATTTTGCCTACTTAGTGACTTATTTAATACCGGGTGTGGAATGCATTATAATGTAGGTCCCCGGTTTGGTTTTCTTAAAAACACAATAAGAATAGCACACAAAAGCAATGGATTCAAGTATTCCAGCCCTCCAGCTGAAATATAAGAGGGTTCGCCCATTTACCCTATGATTCCCAGCGTCTGGGTGGAGGCTGCCAATGGAGTTCCCCTCCTATTTTTAGAAATCCGGAACCGCACTGCATGGTATAACTATAACGTTCAAAAGATAAAAACAGGAAGGCATAAGGAAGGCATACAGTATTGAATTTCAGTGAATTTTCTTACTTCGATTATTGTTACGTCTTCAATGATAATTTAGATTATTTTAACAGGTGGCTGTACGACATGTCAGTACTAATGTTTCGAAATTTGAAAAAGATCGCAACAAATCGTTTGCTGTTTCCGCTTTCGCTTTTTTGTGACCTTGTTAAAATATTCAAGTACAATTCAGAAACATGACGTAATAAAACCTTGTTGTGATGATAACTTATGCCAGGCTATATCTATTTGACCATGAAAGTATAATAGTATTAATATCTTGCATTCATTATCCGAGAATTAATTATCTCTGCCGAAAAAAAAAAACCAAATACCGACGAATTGTTAATCGATTAAAAGAATTACTATATAGTCTGAATGGGCCGGCGGGGAATTTTCTGTTTTCCCCCTTATAAGCCTGTTATTGTTACCGGTATGATATTTAGATCGCTTAATGACCATGACAGACATAAGTCACCGATATCTAAACATAAATTAATAGTATTTCGGGAAGGAAACAGAGCGGTTGATTCTTCTTATCAAGGTTACAGAGTGGCGACAAGAAACGCCCCACCCACAAAATATGAGTTGGCTGCGTATCGTCATCTTAATTACCATCATGTAGTTTCTACATTATTTATATACTTCATCGAAATATCATGTGTTTGTCTAATTAGACCTATTATTATTTTGTATCCTGTTTGTTTTACCCTGAACATTTCTAAAATAAATAATATTATTGTTTTTCTTATAAGATTTGCGTCGTTGTAAATATATTTTACTGAAATGAGATCGACAATAGGGAGATTTCTCAGCCTTATGAAGACCATAACTGATACGAACACGACATTATCATTATCGTCATTCGTGCCTCAAACAATCTTGACAATAATGCTGTAGGAGCTGAATACGATTCCTAATTCATGCGGAAGGCATGAATCACTTATGCTACTGTAGAGAAAGGGTTGTCTAAATGTGATGACTGTTTTCGTAAGCTTGCGAAAACTCCCTAATATTAAGCCCGCATCCCAGGGGCTGATTTAGTACCGTACTAGGGGACAGTCCGCTCCCTCTCCCCACCTCCACTTTGGAAAGTAATTTTTTTAAAAAGAAATAGAAATTACTGATCGCCCAAAAGGACACAGATTATATTCCGGCGTGTAAAAAGCAAAAATTTGGGTAGTGTTTTCCCTTTCGGACATTTCTGGATCCGCCCTGCATTCTAATACGAGAATATAAGCTTTTTAAATTCATTTTATTCGAATATCATACGTTGCACCATGGTTGACTTTTGCATTATGTAGGCCTAGCTAAATCAAATAAAACAAATAGGCAATTAATAGTAGGCAATATGAAAGTATTCAAAAATGTATTATTCAAATAACATTCAAGCCCATGGAAATTACAGAGAGACAAAATTTAATCTGTATACACAGAAAACGTCCTAAAAACTCCTCCCTGGTTCTACGGATCGCCGCAGCTTTTCCTCAACCCACGCAGAGGGGTCATATTATGGGATCTTATTAGGCTAATATTGTTAAATATCGGTTGGTTGGTGTTGACTTTAAATGAGTAGTATGACACAGTTCCTTTTAGTTCACTACAAACTTTTATTCACACAAACTGTACGTTGGTTACAATCAGCTAAACTCCAGGTTTCAGATGTTAGAGAACCCTTTTAGAGTGGAGTCAGCTCGGCCCTGTACTTTTCTTCTGTGTTGAATCTAACTACTGACTACTGATCACTGACTACTGATTACTGACTACTCACTACTGATTACTGACCATTGCTGATTCAGTGATATGGGGGTGTTTGCCTATTATACTTTAGGTAATGGGGGTGTGTGTCTGAAGTAAGTCACCCCATACTATTAGAGTTTCTGATTGGATCATAGAGAAATTCTTTCTCTATGATTTAGTAACTTGTTTACCAAAAAACTACTAATTAAGATGTATCACAAACTTCAGAGCTTAGGCTCAAAACTGACAATCATAGATTCATAGTGTGAGAAAGGCCAAGTCCAACTGACTAGGGTAAAGTTATACAAAGTCCAGTTATATTATTAGATTATCTGTATACTCAAGTTGACTGTCAATCATATTTAAGGCATTTATCAGGTGAAGGGTATCGATTCCAATGGTTATGCAAGTTAATATCATTGAACCTTAATACTACATTACAATATTTACTTGAATTTTATACGCTGAATAACATTGAGGAATTTTAATATTACTTTTAATTTAACATTAGGCCTACTTTATTAATATCGTTATTTTCTCTTAAGTACCGTACTTATTAAACACTTGATAAAACATGCACAAAACAAAATGGGTCATGCATTTTTATAGCACCTTCCACATTAAACAAAAAAAGAACGTCCCACGCATTTAAGCCACGGAAAAATACAAAATAATAATTATTGGAATATATTAGATGGTGAAAAGAACTGTTTTTTTTTTTTTTTTTTTTTAGAACGTCTCGAAGTTTCGATTGATTGCTTTAATCGTCATCAGGAGAATAAGATCTGCAGAAAGTCCAAACAAGGAAATACTTTTATGATTGGAAAGTGAGAACTTGCTGCTGATTGGTGGAAAGCGGCCTATCACGCAAACACCAGCTTAATGTATTTTCTACAAACAGAATTGGTGGACTCTAAATGCAAATTAATAATAGGCCTACTTAGGACAATTTCATTTGCATATATTAATGTTAAGATCCACATTTTAGGACAGTCGAGAATGTACTGAAGTTTGTTATTTTGTATAATAAATATTTTTTTATTCTTAATTTTTAAATGTTAACCAGCATATTTTAATATATCGTTAAGCCAGTATTTGGACCATCGGAATCCCCGTAATACCGAAGCTGCCATCGAACCGCCTCTGACCCTTGATCTCGCTTCGGATTCTAGGTTCCCCCATATCCAGATTTTTCTTATTTGCACACCCCGCACCTCCTCCCACATGGACAATGTGGCCATGATGTCCCGTGTCCATTCCAAACTTTCAAGGGCAAACAATGAGCTGTATTTTATCTTGTATAGGGCAAATGAGGTGAAATGAAGTGACCTCTAACCCTATCTTTCCTCATTATGAGATTCATTTGATTCGTGATTGATGGTCCCATTCTCAATATCGTCTGGCTCATTTTCCTTCTTTTCTATGTTTCGAGCAGCACCCCATTGCAATCTGAGGGCGAACCGATTTCGCAGTGACCTTCGAATCAGACGTTTCTCTTTCAATAACACTCGCAACCGGTTTCCTTGAAGTAGAATTGCCAAGAAGTTCTTACACGCGAAGAAGAGAAGAAGTTCATTTATGACCTTTTTATCAATCATAAGATACAGTCGAACAACAAGAAACGGCCCGTCCTGCAATAGTACGGTGACCAATATAGCCCAGATCTCGGTCGCGCAACATGTTGATACGGCATGCTTTATCTTTAGTAAACCCTTTGCAGAAGGCCTCGGTCTTGACCGCTTCTTTACGGTCAAAGGCAGTGTAAATTGAAAAAGACTACATGTCCAAATGGTTAGAATAGTGTATATAACAGTCGAATCACATCCTATTTTATCCAATCGTAGACCTTCGGATGAAAATTCCAATATGTCTGCTCCGCTTCCAACGTACATTAGAAGGAGCTGGGAGAGTTGATCACCGGTAATATTGCCACGTGGGAGGATCCAACGACCGATTATAAGGACGAATATAAGTAGCTGTTGAAGGATCAGGGACCAGCTCTCAGCGTTATCCTAAAAACAGGAAAAATGATCGGTTATGGATAATTGAAGGAAGAATGACGATCACGATGAGCAAAAAAAAAGTGCTCTAATTGTCTGATCCCAATCATTCAAACGGAAGTAGTATACCAGTAGTACATTTAAAATTTAAGCCGGCGGTAACCCTGCTGTGCATTATAATATATGGATATCTTTTTAGTTTTCCATCTAATTGCTCTAGTGTTTAAAGAGACGTTAAGCCATTGGTCCCGGTGGTGTGTGGCCAAACACTTCAGTGGAAAACAGCAGGGAATTATGTCCGGTTTAGGCCTACTGTCAAACTTAATAACATTAGTTGTGTTGCAACCAGATGGAAGCAAGGACTTTCAAAAGTCATTGAACCAATGTATTTTGAGCACCATACTGGGGCACCATAGCACCATGAACCAACAACATTATTGTACATACATCAGACATCACAAAGCAATACTCACGTTTAAACCGAGAAGGACGATGAACGCTTTAGTAATAGTAGTATTTTTATTGTTTGGTAAATCGGATATCCCGCAATCGTCGCCATCGGTCATTCTTGATTCAAGACGTGTGGATAACGCCTCAATTTCCAGGATCCAAAGAGTAGGTACCACCACCATCAAATAGGCCAATATGCAACCAGAAAACCTTACAAGAGAGGACAAAAACTTTAAACCAATCACCATGAAGTTTCGTGCATTTAGTAGGCTTATATTACCCAAACGTGTCTCTAGCCGGGCACTCACTGCGTCGTACGACTAATTCAACTCCGCTCTTTGTGACGTGAGCGATGGACGACGCGATATCGTCTGCTGATTGTCGGTGACAGTCTGAACAGATCGTCATTAAAAACGATCCCTTGCGCGCGCGTCGTCGCGTTGCGTTCTTCATAGAATCGCGTCGGCCGACAACCGTCGTGCGCAGTGAGAGTGCCCGGCTTAAGTATCTCTTTCTAGAATAAAATGATAGAGTGCATTAGGACCTCTAGTGATACAGCCGGCCCAAGCTGGACTCCTGTCGGAGAACACTGCTTTGAAAAAAACATACATCTGAAATCGGATATGGACGAATTTTTCTTTAAATTCACTCAACACGGTGAGACTAAGGTGGAAGGTCAGAGAATTTAAACCTCTTGTCGGGGACCTCAGGCGCATCCTGGGGAACTTCTGGCTCCGCCACTACCTTTATGACAGTTGATATTATACACCTATGTATAGCCTACCATCTACCCACCGATAATATTTATGCTACCGTACTTTTTATAGGCTTTTAAAAGTCTGCTAGTTTTTTGTAGGTACTACTGTGTTCAGCATACTACTACACTCGATACGGTATGTTTCATAACGGACCGGTACGGTATTATCCGCACCAACTATGAGATAATAATTATTTTTCTATGCGATGGTATGATGGTATCATAATCACGGAAAGTTAGGCCTAATGTGTAGGCAATACTATAGTGTGCATATATAGGAAGTGACCTATGGATGTAGGCTACTGTATACTGTAGAGAGTTGTTATTGTAGTAATAATCATATCGATGTTCCCCTATGCTGTTCCTTTTCATTTGATGGGCCTTTGCATGCCTAACCATTACTACACAACAGCAGTGGCACCAGAAATGTGCCGACAGGGCTGGGGCCTGAACCAAGGGGCCGACTAGGCCACTGTCGGTCCCGGAATTAAAAAAAATCCCTGGTAGGGTTCACGGGGGATGTTTTATGGCTTAGTTGGTCCAACGTGCTTTTAGACCACAATATTACAGACTGCATGGTCACCAAAGTTGTCGCGTCGGACGCGACGGGGGTCCAAGCCTGTCCGATGAAGGTGGGGACAATATACTGGCAAGCACGACATTTACACACAAACTTGAATTGAGCGCAAATAAACTTTAATTCCACTATCTGAAGATCGATCAGCAATCATGAAAGCACATGAAAGCGAAAAGATTAACTGCAATACAAACAAGCAGTGTAATATAATAGTAACTCTTATTACTGTATTGGCTAACTTTAGACTACAATTATCATTTTATAGATAAAACCTATAATGATTTATAAGGCTTAGATGTAAAGGCCTATGCATAGTACTTATGCAATAATCAACAATTAATGATTATAAAACAAATTAATCCTACAAATGAAACACAAAGCAAAACATTCTATATAAGTAAACTAATGAATAAACTATGAAGCAAAGCAGGAGCAATATCATTGAACATGATACCAGGGAGGTATAAACTGTGGTAAAATCCTAATAAGTAACCTTGCCCTGCATAGTTTGGTACCAGGGACCATCTTATTTACTGTGACTATAATACTAAGCACTACAAACTCAATGGTTAATTTAAGCATTTTAGTTAATAAATATCTAAATCGTGTAAATTCAATAATTCATTATGCACTCCTACAGTAATTATCAAATGCGTAGATCACATTACTGAACTGTATTCAAGACGTAAATTACATATCCCACATTAAGGATAATATAGTAACTTAATGCTTGACCAGTTACATCCCGGCCCCTTAATTGTATTAATACAATTACTAAAATTAATAAATCTAAGTTAAACGCATAAAATGCAAGATAATGTTCAAATAATGTAAAATTAAACTAAAGTTAAATTCATTCAAAGTAAAGGTAATAAATTTCCTTTATTTCAAAGTTCAATATCCAACAAGGACTTCAAACAGTCTATTTCCTTTGATCATTGTCATCCGCTTCCAACAGTAAGCACAGCTTGGCTATTGGGCGTTCAAGTGTTGCCGTCTTTGTTTTAACATAACAAGATCTCACAAATCCTTTCTTATCTTTCCTGACTTCAGATACCCTTGCTAGCAACCACATACTCCGAGGTAAAGTGTTATCCACTATTAAAACAACATCCCCTACTTGCATGTTTCTTTGAGGGTGTGTAACCATTTTTGGCGCTCTTGCAACATTGGTAGATATTCTTTACGCCACCTGCTCCAAAATAAGTCTGCCAAATACTGCACTTGGCGCCAGCGTCTTCGAGCGTAAACGTCCTTCTGGTTAAATATACCTGGCGACATGTACTCCTGTTGGCGTTGAGTCATAATCATGTTTGGAGTTAATGGTTGCAAGTCGTGTGGATCACTTGATACAGTAGTTATCGGTATGCCATTGATGATAGACTCCACTTCGCAAAAAAGTGTATGAAGACCTTCGTTATATGTTGTTCTTGTAACACACCTTTCATCACCTGCCTGACTGTTCTGATTTGTCTTTCCCACGCGCCGCCAAAATGAGAAGCAGACGGTGGGTTAAAGATCCATTTGATGTTTCTTTGGTGTAGCCAATCTGGAATATGACTAGCATTCCATGCAAGTACAGCCTCTCTTAATTCACGTTCTACACCCACGAAGTTGGTTCCATTATCTGATCGTATGGATGACACTCCACCTCTTCTGGCAATAAATCGCCTTAAAGCATTTAAACAAGAATCAGTGTCCATGCTATGGGTTATCTCTAGGTGAATGGCCCTTGAGGCGAGACATGTGAATATAAGTCCATATCTTTTAACAGTGCTTCTTCCTCTCTTAATCTCAAATGGACCAAACATGTCCATATCACTGTTGTAGAAGGGAGGAAAATCAGCAAGTACTCTCTCTCTAGGTAATGACGCCATCTTCTGCTGTCCTGGAGATGCACGATGTTTGTGACATGTTACGCACCGGCTTATCACTGTCCTAATGATTGCTCTAGCTCCCAGAATCCAAAATCGTTCACGAACTGCATTTAGTACAGTGTTACGTCCAAGATGCCCAACTTCCTTATGTGCATCTAGTATAAGGTACTCTGCTATCAAAGAGTTTTTTGGAACAATCACAGGGTGCCTTGCAGATTCTGGTAGGTCAGATCTGTCCAATCGTCCACCAACACAAAGAAGCTTATCATGTAATGTAGGATCCAGTTTTCTAAGTTGGCTGTACTTTAAGGCCTGTGCTATTTCATTGGGGTTGTTACCTTTGAGTGCTTTAATCTCCTTTGAAAAATACTGTTGTTGTACCTGCATCAGGATTTCCCTTTCAGCAGCTTGCAGATGTTCTACTTCTAATCGACGTATGGTAGATTTATTGGTCGCTGGAATAATTCGTTGTCTCAAATTCTTCTTCAATACAAGCAACCAAGCCACAATTCTTCTAAGTTTATTAAAGCTTGAGTATCTTTTAATAAGATTATCCATAACTGTGGATTCTTCTACTGTTATGCCAGTATTTACTTCTCTTTTGATTTCTGGATCATCTTCAGAGATCAAACTTATTTCCTGCATCTTCGGCCACTGCTCAACTGATTCTTGCAAGAACGATGGGCCCTTAATCCAGCGTTCGTTTTTTAGGAACTGGTTTATGGACAATCCTCGAGACGTGTCATCAGCAGGATTATTAGTAGTTCGAACATATCCCCACTGTGAAGGACTTGTAGCCTCGGTTATAACGGCTACCCGATTAGCCACAAATGTCTTGAACCGCCTGCTAGTGTTGTTAATGTATTTCAGGACTGTTTGGCTATCAGTCCAAAAGTACGTCTCATGTACTTGGTCCAACTCCTCTTCTAACATTTTAGCAATACGAACAGCCATAGTGGCTGCCGTAAGCTCTAACCTAGGTATTGACAAATGCTTTAGAGGTGTTACTCTACTTCTTGCCAATACTAGGGAACAGTGGATAGCTTCATTGATATCTTCTGATCTTATGTATGCCACCATACC